ATTTTTTAAAAAATTATAAAAAAATAAATCATTATAAAACATACAGAATTTTGATATAGAATCATTAATTATGTATACAAACCTTATAAAAAACATATCATTTTCTTATTTTGATTTCTTATAGGATTAATACAATCAATTACAAAAATAAAGTATAAGATAATAAAATTAAAATAACAGCAATCTTTGATGAATAGACTAATATCAAGTAAGAGTATTTATTTAATTTTTTTTTTATATTATTAACAGATGAAACGCTTATTTAGGATGTAAATGATATTAGTGATGTTATTAATTATATTAAGAATATAATAATTGATACTAAAAAAATCAAAATAAATTACTTTGTATCAAATTTAGCAAACGAATATGCTATTACATGATATATATTATATACAGTAAATTTATTTATATTTTATAATTGAAAAATTTATATAATATATGTTTATTTAATTAGTTTTAATAGAAGAATTATGTAGGTAGAATTTTCCAATAAGGTTTTCTTAATATGCATGTCTCATCAGATGAATTTAGTAGTTGAAGATATTTTTAAGGAGTTAGATATTTATCAATAAATTCAATAAAAGCTGTTAAAATTATTATTATTTTCATTCAACAATTTATTTTACTAGATTGTTAAAATGTGAGTAAAAAGTATATATATAAATGAAACTTAATGGAATAGTTATTACTTTTGTATTCATAGTATTTTGAAAACTGAAGCAGCACTTAAATTTTGTTAATTTAATTAAAGTTAGCAGTTATAATTAATTATAATATAATTATATTTACATTAATATTTTTAGACACTAGCTATAAAATTTGTATCTAAATGTCTTGAAGTCCTTACACATCTCAAAGTGATCATATAAGACAAAAACATATGTCAAATTTTATAAGTAAAAAATTCCTTTTTTTGATATAATTGCCATTATTAATGACCAAAATTTTTGGAGTCATTTATATGAACTCCAAAATTTACTTTTACCACTTTGTGTAACTTTAAATAAATTACAAAAAAATATAGTCCGGCTATATGAAGTGATTCCTGCTTTTGAATAGATAACTAATGTATTTTTAGATCATCAAGATAAAGATTTTTCTAATATGATTTGAACGCTGATAGAGCTGATAGTATCAACAGGAGCAACCTCTTTTGCTTTTATCTTTAATTCTTCATCTATAATATTGTCTTATGCTTTTTAATAATATCCCAATTTTTTCTATACTCATTTTGATCAATGGATTAATTACTATTTTTAGATTTGGTTTGAGATATTACCAGAATGTATTTTATGTAAATATCTTTCATATCAACGAGAAATATATTCTTTTGAGATGTTAATATTTAATCAACTTGATGGGAATATTATGGATTTTTGGGAATTGTCAAAAGGGCAAGCACCTGAATTATCATGCTTTGCTCTTCATTTATATGGGATTTGTATTAATTCAGCTTCATTCAAAACACTGGAAATCGGCTTAATGTAAGTAAAATAAAATTTAAGTGATAATATTTGCTCATATTTTTTAAATTTTATTTTAAAGAATAACAAAGTGTCAATTAAGAAGTGATATTTTACACAAAAGAAAACAGTTAGAAATTAAAAAATCTGAAAATATTTATAAATGAAATTACATAGCAACTCCTATAGATGACGAAATTTCTGATAGTAATAATAATGATAAAGAGGTAATGTGAATATACAACTGCTTTCACAATTTCTGGTTACAATGAGAATTCTAACATACAAGCCGAATTATTTAATAATTAATAGATTGATATTATGATAGTCAGTGATGACGTTAAAGAAATTATCTCACTACAATATGAAAGGCAATTCCGAATTAGAAAATGAAACCCCCAATAAAATCTGCTCAATAAAACATTGGACGCGTGTAATACAAAATTGGATCAGTATGGCTGGTGAGGAAAATTATCCTGAAGATCCTTTAGATTTTATAGCTGTAGATCGTACCATTCATCCTGCTGATGATTCACTTGACAAATGGAATCTTATAGATATTTTTAATAATAAGTTGGAATCACCTTATTTTGTGAATGCGAAATCTTTACTTTTTTTGGATATTATTGTTTGAGCTAGAATAATAATAAAAACTGTGACAATATGACAATAAGAGGAAAGCCATTTAACTTCGAAAGACACAAATGACACCGTGACTAATGACCCAAGTCATTGATGTCATTTAGATTATTTGCCATCACTGATCTGACCATTTAGGATAAATGCTCATTTGGGGCATTCCGATATCTGAAATTCTCATTTCGGACATTAATGCATTTGGGTACAACCGCAATTTGCAGATCTTAATAACTAACTTTATTCTTTCATGAAAAGGTATGTTACACGGTTAAAAAATCCATTACTTAAACGCACCTTTTTATTATTACTAAGACCAACTACTCGTGAATTAATAAAGAGGTTTAAAGATTATATTATACGCAATGTTTTTGACAGAATCATTTCGCGATTATCGAACAACAGAGCCTATTTGGTTTAGATTGTTTCGAGGTTTTTTTGCCATTATTTTTACGATAACGCTTATTTCTTACTTAAAGATTAAATATGATAAAGTTAAAGTTACCAGTAATACAATTATTCCTTATAATGTTACAAATGGTTTTCTTCAAGGTAAAGGAAAGCAAAAAAAATTTTTAAACCTTTATAAAAATAAATAAATAATATTTATTTATTTACAAAATAGGTGTTAATTTTCATTTAAAAATGTGTACTGGCACTTCTAGAAAGATTAATGAAGTTAATGAAAAACCAGTCGTTTATGACCTTCCCTGTAACACTGAAAAAATATATAAAAAAACTGACGAATATGCACCACCTGTGCAAAGAAGTTTTAATTTTAATATTATTACTACACCTAACATTAATACTTCTACGCAAAAAGATTTAAATCTTCCTTTAAATACTTTAGAACCTTATAATAACACCAGTGATATTCCTGATAATATTTTATATTTACAATTTAGTTCCATTCAATTAATCATTGAAGATGATTATGGTTTTGATTATTTAAATTTTACACACGGTTCAGAATATTTAGACTATTTTTTATTTAATTTAGGACAAGCTTCAATAATATCTTTTAATCCAACGATTAAAGATCATTTTGTGTCGTTAATGCCACAAATACAACAAATACCGATGAATTTAAAACCTGAACCTAATGAATTTCGATTTACATTTATATTCCCGCCCCATGTTCTCATATTTGAAGAAGATGAAGAATTGGCGTACAATTGTAAGCATATATATATATATATATATATATATATATATTATACTAGCTCAACATTAATAATATATGTTCAAATTTTTAGTTACCGATCTCATAGCTGATATTGGAGGTTTCTATAGTGCAATATCAGGTAAGTATATTAATCGTCAATTAGAATAATAAACGCGCTTTAACCATAAATCAACATATTTATAGGAATCTTTTATTTATTATTCGGAATGCAAAAACATGATCCATGGTAAGCGATATAATTTTATTATAAAATTTATAAAATATTCTTATAAAAATATTTTATTGATAATTTTCCTTACATTAAAAGGGGTTTGGTACAAAAGTATCTGCTTTCTTATATTCCTTTTAGACAAAGTTTTACAAGAAAATTCGCAGAAATATATGTTACAGATTTCGGCCTTCCATTTGTTGAAAAAATTGAACTTAAAGAAAGTCAGTCATCTTCACAATCGGCTGACCTGACCCCACCAGTGGAGAATAATCCGTCTTCAGCATCTCCTACAACTTCTGGTGGGTCGTTATCAGATGGAAGTCAAGAAGTTCAGCCACTTTTAAAAGATGGAATTCAAATTATAGAGAAGTTAGAATTTTTAAAAAATAGAGTTCAAATGCTAGAATTCTTATTAAAGGATTATTATTTAGATGATTATTTATTAAAAAAAGTCAGATTTACCAAACGTAAATATGATGAAAGGAAAAATGAATTATCAAGGGTTTAACTGAAAGACTAGATTTAACCTTTTTATTTCATTTATTTTTTTTTGTCAAAAAAGATATTTTTGTGTAACAAATAAATGATCCCTTTTATTACAGGTTTGAATCAGATAATTATAATATAATCACTTTTATATCGTTATTTTTCCTTTCTGATCTCTGTTTTTGATCATCTATCAACCATTCTTTAAGAAAATTAAGAAAATCAAAAAACTTTCTAACGGATTCCCAAAAAATTAAAAGAAATGATTCTGAATCAAATTCGTCATCAATAAACTTTAATTTTGAAGCCTCATATTCATACTTCAATTCTTGATCAAATTCGACTAATAAAATTAAATAATTTTTATAAATTTAATATTGTATTGAAAATCTCCAAAAAAAAAAAAATATTAAATAGTATATGATCGATTACTTACGGTAATATCTAAGTCCTTTACCAAAATTTTTATGACATATTATTGTACAAATTAATAAAAAACTTGATAATATCAACGTTACTTGTTGTATTAATTCCATTTTATTAAAACTTATCATGTTTTCATCATCCCATAAGAAAGGATCATTTTCATACCAAGTAAGAATAATTACCCAAATTAGAGCAACATATAATAAATAAATACGCCACTTTAACTCCATCCTAATCTAATTAAAAATTTATAAAAAATTAATAAATTCAAACGATATAATAATTTCATATAGTAAATGTTAAATACTTACAATTTTTGAACCGTATGTTAAAATAAATAATGGTAAAAAAGCTTTCAACGTCATAACGGATAAAATATCAACAACAACATTTAAATTCTCATCATAGGACATATTAATACCACAATTTGTGAAAATAATATGTAATAAAATGTATAATAACAAATTATAAAATTGGTAAAATTTGTAATATCCTGTATGAAATAATGATTTTTAATTATTTTTACAAATTAATTAAAGATGATTTTAAAATAACTAATACTTACGTTTTAGCTCATTTGGGATAATAATTTTAGTAATGTTCCAATATCTAAATTCATAACACAAACTTTCTTAGAAATCTAATTAAAGGTTATATAAATAGAATCTAGATTTAACTTACTTCCCATTTTTCCATAGAAAAATCAACAAAATGATAAATAAAATATCAAAAAGTAGGATTATAGCAATAATAAAAAGATCGCCTTGTTTTTTTTAAAAAAAAACGCAATTAATGAAAATGAAAATTAATGAAAATATAAAAATTAAAATTTACCTTCTGAGTGGACTGGTAATTCTAGTATAGTACTATTATCAAATAAAACCATGATTGGTATTAAATGGATTATACAAAAGGCCAAAAAATGGGGTAATGTTTTCTGGACAATCTATTTTTAAACCAAAATAGTGAAAGCTTTTAGTAATTACATTAATAATATTAATAATTAACTTTACTTACAGTATATATTCCAGATACAAAAATTGCAAAAAATGATACAGGCAAACGAACTACTCTTACATGTCTATCAAATCTTTTTATAATATCCTTTATAAAAACACTATCCGTTGTAGATGATCTATCCGTTGTAGGTAGTATACTATCTATAATACATACACTAACAATGACAAATATAATTTCAATAATAAATAATACTAAAAATATCATATTTATTTTTCTTTTATTTTCCAAATCTTTAGAATCCATTTTATTTTGTCTTCAACAGAAAACTAAAAACGATGTAGTATATAAATCGAATAAATAGAATAGAAAAGAAGAAAAGAATTTTAAACAAGTTTTTATACGAATTAAAATTATTGCGAAATAAGGAGTAATACTGCAGTATAAAATATTTATAACTTAATACAGTATATACTTGAAAGTTGAAACAAGAAGTCTTACTAAATAATGGTTCAACTCACGCTAATTCGGTTAAATCCTCGAGCCTTGTTCATGTGATTCAGCTTGAAAAGGTCATGATGAATTTATTATCTTTGACGACAGCGATCAAGAATATTTCATCAATTAACTTAAAGTTTGTAACGTAACGAACTCATCATCTTACCTAAAAATGAATGTTCCATTTTTTGGGTAACATTATATTTATACTGATTAGGTCAGACGTACAAGATCTTTATGATATCTAAGTCGTTGACTAAATACTGTCAACTATAATAAATCTTATTGGCAAAATCGAAAACATAATAAAACTTGTCAAAAAGTCAAATACTCGACAGTTGCCATTTGCTTAATGAGTTTTGTCAAGCAATGAAAATAATAATGAAATTAGGTTGGATCTTCCGCAAAATTTAATGGGCTCAAAATCACAAAGTTGTTTTCGAATATGAGGAGGGGCAAATTTTAATCACATTGGTGAGAGATTTTGTAGTAACCAAAAATAATAATTAACAGAGGGTAAATATTCAAAAGCTATTCGACCTCAGAATTTTTATGGGACATTTGATATATCCGAAAAGTCTTCATCCACACCACATTTATAAGTATAAGACATACCATGACGTTCTACTCGCCAAGCATTGAACGAGTAGGATTTTCGTTTAAATATTCATTATTCGAATTTAAGTTTTTAATATTCGGTTCATATCAAATATCGAAATAAGGACCTTTCTCTCAAAAAAATCCTCTGCAAGTCTTACCTTAGGACCGAAGGGAAGATAAAGATGACAATCGGTCTCAAGGATTTCTAGTCTTTTCGGTCTTACATTATAAAAGGCCGGACTACAATAACCGCAGTCCTCTACAGTCTTCTGTTCATGTGAATAAAATCAAAAGACCGGAAGACTTTTTGTAAAACTTGGTCTTTTTTCAAAAACAGCGTTCTTCAAAAAGATTGATCAATATTATTTAATTAATTTAATTAATTAACGTTGTTTTAAAGTAATATAAATATATATAAAAGATCGACAATGGGTTTTTTTTATTTTTTTTTTCTTTTACAATGGCTGAAATAAATGAAAGCGGTTCTTGAAAATGAAGCTGTTAATATTGATATTAGTTTTGAAGATAATCTAATATCAGAAGAGGGAGATGGTTCATTTCAGTAATAAAAAATTATTCTTTGCGATGTTGGACAATATCACCTTTCAGGAAAAAATTCTCATTTTGTGATAAGTATAAATATTTAATTTTTTTATAAAAAGACTGAATTACAAGACTGACGGTCTCTCCGATCGGTCTTTATAAATCAAAACCGCAGTCCGGTCCTAATTTGTATAAGACTGATGGTACAAAGACTAAGACGGGACGCGTAGAAATAATTATCATCTTATCTTTAAAGGAAGAACGTTCCAAAACAAAGGTAATAAAATAATATTATAATAAAAAGGAAAAAAGAAAAGAAACTTTCGCGAAACTACTCGAAGGCAGAGAAAAAAGAGGAAAAGAATGGAATATTAACGCGAATGATGTCCTTAATTTGAAACTTAATTATTCAATCGTTAATTATAAGAAACAAATATCGAAATGATTTATCGAAAATCATTTTGAATATCGAAAATTTAGAATCAATTCTTTATATTTTCTATAGAAGCGTGTAAGTTTTCTTTCGGAGCGTTTCTTATTTTTCCATTAATTTTAAAAAACGTTCTTCGCAAAAAAATGTTCGTCTGTCCCGTGACTTTCAAACGTTCGTTGTGATATCGGAATGTCGGGATGTCGGGATGTCGGTCGGGAAAAGGTAAGTATGTTAGAATTAACAGCACGTCGAAGACATCAAAACATTTATAAAATAGTTACATCTAATTGCAATTGTTGGGTTTGCCAGAAATTATATTTCGATATTTCTCGTGACATTTAATTGGCTGTTATATCAAGGAATTAAATATTATCGATCGTATAGAAAACCATTATTTATAAATACAGTATATACTTGTTTTAGAAAAAAAATTCCATCATATATTAAAAAATCTATGATATTAGAATAATTCGCCATATACTAATTAAGTTAACCCTTTATTATTTATAAAAATTATTCAAAATGAAGATTATTTTAATAAATCGTTGCAAATATTAACACTTTATTAATTATAAACACATTATTATTAATAATTCGTCACTTACGTAAGAAATTTACTAACCTAACTTTCTAACCTACCAAATCTCAAGAAAAAATTTGGATCAGAAAAAAATATTCTTTAGATTTTTGGTATCTATCTTATAATAAGACTAAAAAGAATGACAGCTACATACATTGTGTAAAAAAAGAAGAATGCGATAGTAAAAAAAATTCAAAAGAACCGACCTACCTTATCTTAAATAATCATGGAAAGATTTGTGTGAATGAACGTCGACAATTCTTAGTTGTGATGGATGCAAAAGATGCGTCCTGAATATCTGGAATCTAATCAGTATTTAATCCGAAATAATCCGAAAGTATAAATATTCGCGCGAATCTAAAAAAATAATAATAATAATAATAAATTACGGGTCCCGTGATGAAGATTTTCCCAGAAAACATCTACTATAAAATTTTGATCGGAATGGATTTTGCGGACGGAATGTTATAATCCGAATTTAGTATTACAAACATCACCTAACGCTTGGCTGTTGTCATTGATAGTCACATGCTCAATTGTGATAAACCTATCAAAGTGAATGATGAAGAATTTGAAATTCGGACATAACCCGGATCATCCGGATCATGCCACATCCTAGAGCGAGTGATTATATGGGCACATAACATTAAAATGTCAAATGAATTTTGGAGATTTTAGCAAAGATAATCCAAAATATAAAAGCACAAGTCTCAAACATCAAACTGTTGCACACGAATGTTTGAAATTTGAAAATTGTACACAAGGTATAACGACCACTGAAATCCTGACGGATTTGGTCGAAGCCGTTAAATAAATAAATAAATATAAAATATATATAATAAATAAAAAAAATATTTACTCATTAAAAAATTGTTTTGAGACTTTTTTTTCGTTATTTCATTGACGGCGGATCATTACAAAAAGGTGGCACCTGTATTTCAAAAAAAAAACGTGTTTACGTAAGATTGTGATGCAATAATCGCTTATACCTTAATATCATGATGTGTCACGTACAAACTCGTCTGCAGTGCATTTCACAGATTCCTTGCAAATTCATTGTTTTGAAAGTTTTTTCTATTGAAAAAGACGACCAAATATGGAATTTACAAACATCCAAATAAAAAAATTGTAATACATCATGGTGAAAGATTGGAAACGTGAATAATTTGCCAAGCATACAATAATCCAATCAATGTTCGGATCATCCATAACTTTGGTGGATCGATGACTTTTTTGCCATTAAAATTGAACATTATTTTTTTTAAAAAAAAAAAAAAAAAATTAAAATTAAAAATTTGTGATTACTAATTCTTTTTTTCGTTAATGGCATCTGGACAAATTCATTTTTTTTTCTTCTTTTAGTAACTAAAATAAATTACTTACCCAATGGTTTTCTTTTTTTTAGAGAATAATTAAGAAGTTGATTCGCAAATAGTCGATTTCCGAATTAGGAATGATCTCGTAGAATATGTCGAAATGGAGGTGCACTTTGATTATTAATTGTTTTTTTATGATTTTCGCGTTATAATGAATACTACGTAATCACACTAAAAATGTTCTATCTTTAGAAAATTGTGAGATCTTTTGCTGCAGTGGCTGATGAACTTTATCAAATAAGTATAATGTCGGGGTAATAAGCGAAAGATGTCATATTACATTCGCCCACTTTTTTAAAAATAACTTACAGATTTCTTAAATTGAACATTCAATCAACCCAAGTAATTTCCAAATATGAATTTTCCTCTTACACAGTTTGCTTATTAACAAAATGTCCATTTTGGGGAAACTAAGCCGAAAAGAAAATGATAAATACTCCAGAATGTCAATCTTTTTTCCAAAATTCAGTCAGATAAACAAACAGCAAAAGAACAAACACCAAATCAAGTAAGGGATTTACCTTAAAAAGCAAACAATGTCATCTCAAAACAGGAATTGCGTCTTTATTGATTCGAACAACCCTTCAAAGTATCGAGTTAACATTAACTCTCAACCTATCATAAAAATTCCATTTCCACCCGCCATCGATCCACGTGATCTCGTTGTAAAAACCAAAGACGGAAGGATCCCATCTCGTGTTCCGAACGCCTTTATTATTTACCGGAAGGCTTTCATTGTGGCTGTTAAAAATGATGGATACGTTCTACCAATGACGGTGATTTCTCCAATGGCATCTCAGTCATGGGAACAAGAAAGTGAAATTGTCAAAGCTGAATATAAACGACTCGCTAAGGAAGCCTATGAGGTGCGCAATGAAATGTTGCCTAAATATCAACGAAAGAAAAAGAGAGAGAAATGGAATATCGTTTCTTTTCAAGAAAAAAGTAGTCGAAAGGGACCCGTACCTTCAATTCAAAAGCCCACCAAAGAAATTAATGAAGCAGTCCCGGAAGTGAATCAGCTTCCATTGATCACCTTATCATCCGAATCTCAATCCATTGGATGCAGTCCAAATCTATCACAATCAGATAGCCCAGAAACCGAACAATATAATTTTGATTTTACTCAACACATGACACCCAACATCACTCCCTTCACCCGAAATTTCTTCTATTGAAGAAGATATAATTAATTCAATTAATTCAATAAATTTTAACAATCAATTATCATCATACCTTTCAAGTATCGATTTTTCATATGAAAGCAACAATGAATTACCTTCAGAATCACTTGAAAAAAACCGTTGTATTACCCATCTTTAGCCAAGAGGAATTCAATGGCTTATACAGTGAAAATTATTATCCAAATAGTTATCAAATGATTTTTCAACATCAACCATATTCCGATACGGTCTCGTCGGTTTTCGGTTCTGAAAAGGTTTCATATTCCCCTGATGTGCTAGACATGTATGCATACAATACTGCAAATACAATGGCTGTTGAACCTGGTCGTGTGATGGATTTTGATTATTCGTATTATTTGTAAGATTGATTATATTCTAAGATTCTAAGAACTTTTTTTTTCTTCTTCTTCTTCTTTGGGCTGGAATTATGTACCATATGTAAAACCAATCAATCAATAAAATCTATATGTAAAATATGTCAAAAAGGAAATGATTATTTTTAGTTTTTTTATAATTTAAATATGATATTACAGTAATATGCTAATAGGAGTAAGCTTTAAAACATTTTAAGATAAAATATGTAACATGTAGTGATAATTTAATAAGCCCTTTTATGTATTAATAAAATATTTGGAACAATTGAACAGTTGGCTGCTCTTTTTCAATAAAAAAAATAATAATTAATCCAAAAAAGAAATGATGAAGTGAAATCTTTCGCGATAAAGCTTGTGCTAGATCGTTTCAGATTGAATTGAATGAGAAATATTTTACGTATTGTGAAAAAAAAATTTTTTGAACACGAGGCTTTAAGTTTTGAACGCGTATGGTTCAAGGTGAATACTGTGATATATTATTCTCATGTTTACGCTACACAACATTTTTTTTTAATATATATTTATTCTTACAATAGTATGAAATTCGCGTATAAATAAATAATATTGTAGGAAAAATTACAACAAGAGTTGAATGAATGCAATTAAATAATTGATTGAATAAATGAGATGAATAAGTGAATGAAGTTTATTATAATTTCACGCGCGATTGAATCGACCAATCGTTCTCATAATATTTACCTTTTATACATAATAACGTTCAACGCGCTACAATAGAATTTCAACGGTAATCTCTTACAAATAAATAATGATGCACATTATCGGAAATATCTAATCAACTTATTATGAGATGAACAGGGAAGAAGAAAAAAAAGGTACGGTTTCAGAAACAAAAAGATAAGGAGGGATGATTTCTTCTATCCGTTTTATTTTCTGTGTGAAGTAGAGAGAAAGAGTGCATGTATAAAAATATTTGATGAAAGAAAAGGGTTTTATGTGGCTTGTTTAAGCCAATATAAAAACTAACACTAAACATGCTTAAACCTTTATCGTAAGTGATTAACAAATTAGTTCATTTCCTGTTGAATCCAACTTTTTTTTTTCACAAAGTAACAGAGTAAATGATTCTGTGATTTATCCGACCAATCAGTTCATTAAATTCATGTACGTAGTAACAAACAAACATTTTTTTATTTATGTTAATATTGTAAATCAGTTTATACACGTAAAATTAGTGTGCGACTAGATAAAAAAGAAGTATTAATTGTCGAACACGTAAATGAGCATCATGCCTTGCATGCAAATTCCAAGATAAAAGGCTCGGACCGCAGCATTTTTATTGAAAACCTAATTACAGCATTCTGATAATGCATCTGTACTATTATCCTTACAAAAAGCAACAACAACCCTTTCAACGCTTCGTGCAGGCACATTGATACATTATACATTGAACAAATAGAACTATTAACGTGATAAAATGATAAGAACCTTCATTGTGAAGCTAGAAGGGAGAATGAGATAGAGTTCTTTTTTTATTTTTAAGGGATCCAAACTTACCTGACCGGTATAAAGACAATGAGGTTAGCATGCATGTAACTCATCGCAAGTTTGATTCCGATTTTTTTGAAATTAACTCAAAGTCTTTGTATTTTTTCATAATTGGTGTAACCATGACTACATTTGGTGAAACGAAAATGTTTGATCACCTTTTATGAATTTCTAAATTTGCGGGCAACACACGTGCATCGCATCGACAAAATTCATGGGTAATAAAGATCAAATAAAACTTGGAATTTGTTAAACTTCAGTGAAAAAATGGAACCCTATATTGCGGACAATTTTTTTTTCTTGGTGTAATAAACAACATCTTTATTTTCAAATTTTGTGAATGTTTTCTTCCTGTTTATTTTTTCAGAAAGAAATCTCGGAGTTTCCGAAAAACACAACAATGTAACGTTAATCATGTGACGAAACGAAAATGACATCATTTGTGATTATCAATTGCAGCCAGATTTTTAAAATTACAAAGCAAATGGGCAATGATCATTTTTTATTGATTTTTTTTTTTTAAAAGATAAAAAAGATAAAAAAAAAAATGATTATTATCGCGAAATGGCAATATTACGACATTTTCTAAAAATAACCAAACTTTACGGGGAAAGATAATCTTTTGTGTGCGAAATTTAAAGCTTTACAAATTTATACCTGTGGAATCGAAGTTTTCCATATTTAGTCTTCTCCTTTTTAGAATTCTTCAACCTTCGAAAAATTCTCGTAAGTATGTTACAAACCTTGATGCATCCAATTATTTTAATAAAGGAAAGATTGGAACTATTATTAAAATTGGAGAAACTAAACCAAAAGATAAGTGCGCATTGTTGTGCCAAAATCATTTTTAAAATTTTGTAATCTTTTTATCACCAGCAACTTTTGAACAAATTATTTTCGAATGCATTTGTTTTGGGGTTTTGATTGGTCTTCAAAAGTTTGGTAACCATCGGAGGGGTAAGAACAATCATTTTTGGATTTATCCGATGACAATTATATAAAAATTTAATTTTGTACATCCTGGATCACAAGCATCATTTTATGGGAATTTTTAAATTAATATTTATTGATGTGCGACCATCCAGTCATGATAAAAAAAGAATATATAAGATTGCACATTGTTGCTTTTATAATTCAAAGCTTTTTTTTTTTTTTTTTTTTTTGATGCATAGTACTAAATAATATTTAATTTTTTCGATGGACCTATAAACAGCTATTACCCTCGGAGCAAAAATTCCCCTAATATTTGATAATATTTGGAAATTATTTTACGCCACGTATTACAAGGCCTCTCGATCTGTTACAATATTAGACAATAATATTTTATCGCTTCTTATCAAAGGTTCAGCTCATTACCTAATTGATTATGTGTATTTATAGTTAGGTTGTTCCCTGCGGAAATGCTTTCCGATGTAACGTCGAAAATCCTTATTTTATCTACACTGTAATTAACAAACAGTCCCTTATTTGCATGATGGTGATGTGATATTTCATCAAAAACAATTTATCTACTGATGATTATTATGATGATTGTTGTTATTTTATGTTATTGTTATTATTTTAAGTTTTGATGTGACATTGAACATTGTCCATGTCGAAAATTGGAAATGTGAAGTTTTTTAATGTAACCAATTTCTCGGACTCGAACTACCGAACATCATCTATTTAAAGATGCAACACAATAAATTTTGTATACATTAATTTTCCCCCAAAAAAAAATCTCTTGTGATCCTTTAAAGAAAGTTCATCCTTTGTCATTCATTTAATTTAATTTGAAAAAGGTAAACATTTGAATTACAAGGATTTTAAACGCCGAAACGCATATTTCCTTTCGACTTTGTCTCCGTCAATCTTTGAAAACGCATTTATTTATTTTCCTTTTTTTTTCTTTTGCTAAAAATTAGAAAGGAACACGTGCTGATTTGTTTGCTCACGCGATGATTTTTTATTTCAACAAAATTTACAAGAATTAAATTGAAAATATAATCGATAAACTTGATTCATCTTGTGTTTTTATTTTAATCTCTGAAAAGGTCATCACTTCTCATGAACATGAGATTTTCGAGAAATATTTATGTACATTAAAAAGAAATTTTTTTTATTTTTTATTAATTCTTTCTCAGTGTAAAATAAAAAATTTATAATTTCAATAAGAATTCTTTGTTACAAGTACAGAAAAAAAATTGCTTCAATTCAATATAATAAAAAAAAATTTTTAAATGTAACACCACACTACCTTGGAATAGTTAGTAAAAATGCTATAACGATTGTTTGGTTACTAATTTCAAATTAAAATAGCCCATAAATTTTAACTTGTATAACATAGGCTATTGTAAACCTTTTTTTCCTTTTTTTCAATAAATAAATAAACAAAACGAAATTTTTTAAATATAAAAATGCCACATCATCTTGACAAATTTTAAAAAAAGGCAAGAATTTTTTTTCTTAAAAAAAAAAATTTAAAAAAAGAACAATTAACGAAACCAACAATACCCTTTTTAACGAAAACAAAAAAAAAAACCCCCCCAAAAAAACAAAAAAAATTTTACATTATATTAATCATGTCCACTAAAAAGCCAGAATTCATTTTCGTTCCTGAAACGAACCCAAGTCGACCGGGAACGACGAGGGTTCCTCCTTCACTTTATAGGCGACAAGTTCTTGATTATCCAACTATTAAATTACCATTCCCACCTACAATTACCCCAGAGGAATTATCGACTAGTCCGAATAAGAACAAGGTCGTAAAATCAAAAGCACCAAATTGCTTTTTCGTATATCGTCTAGCATATGTACGCGAGTTAAAGAATATGGGACGTCAGTTTGCAATGACCGAAATATCGGGAATCATCGCATCCAGCTGGAATAAAGAACCAAAGCACGTAAAGCAAGCATACAGGAAGCTCTCGCAGGATGCAAATAAGATGCATAAGAAAAGGTTTGGTGATGTCCAAGCTCAACCTCGTAAAAAAAAACTCTTGAAGCAAAAAAAAAATAAAAACAAAAATGAGATGAAGTTGCAACTTCCACTCAGTCCACTATTATCAGATACAAATTCCAACGATTTTGGATCGGGCTTTGACTTACCTTACTATCAGCAGAATAATCCATCTTTTATCGAACCTTTGATTACAACTTATGTAATTGATGATTATTTACAATACCCGGACATTTATATGGAGTATTTATCGTTTATCGGACAACATTCCAAGGATGAAAGCTCTCCTCAATGTGACAATAGCGATACGACCGAATTACCGGAAAGTGTATTGCAAATATGATCCTTTACTTTTTTAATTATTTATTTATTTAAATTAATAATTACTTCTTGCTCATAAGTTTTTATGAACAAAATTATTTATGTGATTTTCTTTCTTGGAGGAGAATGGTTTTTCCTATTTTGTAAATTAATAATTTTTCTTTTTATTGTATTTTACTTTGTAGTATCTGTGCATATGTATATATATATACTTTCTTTTCTTTTCTTTTTTTTTCATCTTTAATATTTTATTTTTGATGTTATTGTTCGTTCGTTTTAAACCAAGCACTGATAAACTTGATTATTTTTGGTTTACTCGAATAAAAAAAAAAAAAAACTTTAGGTTTGAAATAATATTTACCGTTAAGACAATATAATATGTATTTAGTATTTAGGAAAATTTTAAGAAATATATTTTAATAAAATTGCCAAAATATTGGCGTATTATGTAAAAAAAAAAAAAAAAAATTGTCCGTTTTTTTTATTCCTGAAATTGATAAAAAGAAAAAATTCCATAATGATTTATATCACGTGATAGCAACTGACATTTGATATTGTTAATTCAAGAATCTAATTTTGGCCAAATTTTTGAATCACGTGCGACAACAACAATGCAAAGATGGTGTCCCTATAAAAAAATTTTCCTGAATATTTCCATTATTTCTTCGTGGCTTCTGTAAAAATTCCGTGAAAACGAGCCTTTCACGGAATCCGTGTAAATGAGATGAAAATTCCCGTGATTTAAGATTAAAAATTCCGTGAAAATGAGCCCTTCACGGAAAAAACATGGAAAACAAACCACGGATCAACTTTTTTATAGGGCATAACGTTTTTTTATCATTCAAAGAGATTTCGATTTAGATTCTTAATACCGACTATGTATGTAGAAAATCAACCCGTAAATTAAAATTCAATGCAACCTGAATTTATATCCATGCAAAAAAAATTTGGTTCAGAGAAATTTCCACAGAAAAAAAAAAATGCATGAATATTTCTTAAAAAAAAAGATCTATTTTGATCTTTTTATAAAATAAGCCGCGGTTGATCGGCTAAAGAATTTAAGCGGCTTACATCACGTATGGTTCCATAAGAATTACATAATAAAATGTCTTTCAAGTTTATCACATAACTATTCGATCATTTTATTTCTTTTTTCGAAGAAAAAAAACTTATTTTGTTAACATGTGCATTATATTAAATTTTTTTTTTATGTTACTATAGTCAAGTTGATGACATTTCGATCACGCTAACTTTTATTGTATAATATGATATTTCTTTAAATTTAAATAGGGCTTAGCACAAAATCATGTGAAATATGCAGATTGGAATAGATGAAAAAAATCCTTTTCCTTATCAATAAGGGAATTCGATATTCGGACATATATGTCAATTTGATTTTGGAGGATTCACACAATCCAGTAATTACATGTATGTAATGTATGCATAAGGTATATAATAAAATTTCAATTAGTCCAAAGCCGGTAATATCTCAAGATATGGTTGTTATCGGCAAAAGTATTTGGAAATCGATCTTGAGAAGATCTGAAAATGATTGTTAGTCGATCTAATGTTTTTGAGTGCCCAAGTAACAAAATATCACGTGCATATGGCGTCTAATTAGTCAATTTAGTTTTAGCATAGTGATAAGTGATTAGTGATTAGTGATAATGGTAAAGGAAGTAAATTTTGGGGGTGATTTCTTAACACTGCGCTGTTACACCCCATTATCAAGAAATCTAAACAAAATATATTGCCCAAACATTGAAAATATTTATCAACAAAAGTTCCTTATTTAATATTATCAGATTAAATTACGTAAATATTTAATATCATGTGTCCTTTCAATAAATAGATGCTGATTGTCTACCCCTTATACAGCGAAAAAAGGATTCATATATAATTTAATTTAAAGATAAGGAATGATCTTGTAATAATAACGATCATAAATATCGCACAGGTCATGCGAGAAAGTATTTTTTTATTAAGTATGTCAAGCATCTGTTCCGGTTATCAATTGAACAATGCATTGAAGATGAGAAGATGAGTATTCGTATGTATGATATTTTTACATGGAAGTTATTTACTAATGACTATAATAAAAAAGTCAAAAGAACCTTAAAAATGAACTAATTTTAAAGGAATTCGATATACAAATATATATAAATGGCTCAAGATTGAAAAACTTAAGAAAAGATTGGTATAAAAATGTTCTTTCTAAAGGGATGGTTTGATTTCTTTTTATTTTTTTTTTTTAAAAAAAAAACAAAGAAAAAGAAAAGGAAAGTAGAAAAGAAATAGCCGTTGCTCGTAATATACTCGAATCTTCTCTCCATTAGGTCAAACGCGTTTCGAACAAGGGTGATTTCCAAAAAAAAGAAAAGCGATCATATCGTCAAGTTCTTGTTGCTTAAAAGCTTCATAAAGATCTGGATGCTTGACCAAAAATCATGTACGGATTTCCAACGAAATATTACTTTACCGTCTTCTGGGATGAATTTTGATTTATTATTATTAAAAATTTCTTAGAGAAATGATTTGTTTTTCTTTTCTTATAAATAAAAAAAAGGAGAAAAGAAATCTTAATTGTAAACATGTAAGTTTTTGTTTTACACATATGCTTAAGAGACAATCTTTTAATCAACATATAATTTCGAATCGAATATTTCGAAATGTTTTAATCATAACAATTTTTTTTTTTTTTTGGTATTTTTTTGAATTTATCTTGAGAAATATTTCCAGAATAAAAAACCGCGTTTTTATACGTAGAATTTTTTTTTGATATTTGTGCTCATTCGTTTATCCCCTACGTTTCCAAAGTATAACATGTCGTACAGGAAATGATAATCAAAAACTGCATGTTTTCCTAAAAAACTATACACCATACTCAATAATAAATTCTTTCCAAATTTGGATTAACATACAATGTTGTGTAAAATTTTCCAATATAAAGTAAAAAAGTTGGGACTTTAATTTATTCTGTGTATAAACAAATCTATCTTATTATTTAACTTTGACTGGCTTAAGAACAATCATTATTTATTATTAAACGTGGGAATGAATTAAACATGAAACAGGATCGAAATTATTGTTCTCGTTCCCTATAACCTCATGGATGGTTTGTTTGCATTGACACAGTCTTTGTTTGGAAAGTCATTTCTTTACAGGCTCCCTCTCGTTACCATACAATCCAAATTCATGTTCATGAGTTGCAAAGAATTAAGGTTTCTGTAACAATTCTTTTAGTAACTTTTTTTTCGCAACGTGGTAACATGGATTTTACGAATTGTTATGTTCCAAGAGATTATTTTTCTTTGTAATTTCTTTCTTGGGTGTTACCATGTAACCTTTCCGCAGGTGATTTACTCAGAATGACCGTTAGTAGTTCATAATTTTAGTTTTTCCGATAAAGGATATATTCTTAATCTTGTAATGGACTGCAGATTATCCTCATTTATCACAATGTTCATTTCCCATTCGGCCAAGGGCCGTTAAAAATCGAGTATATTTTGAGATTCTCAATATAGCTCAAACTGAGCGATTTCCGTCACACGTGTCAGTGCTGAGTGGGCGCGGTTTTGTTTTGTTAACGTTGGATGTGATTTGACTATAGAATAAAGGAACCCTTTTTTTGTCGTACCTGTCTATAATCACGACATCACTTTCAACAATATTTATTAGAGGATTATGGCGTTTGGTGACAAGAATTCCAAGCAACATTTCCTTTTGGGAGCAACTTCATGTATAAGTAACCTATCAAATGATTTGACTCACGCCACATATGCATCATTTGTATCATTATTACTTTTTTTGTTTTGATATTTATTTTGATAAATTTTTACATATTTATCACGTTTATTTTATTGTTTTCCTGAATAAACTTGGCGCGAACTTGTTATTTGAATGTTTATTGTTTCAAATTGCCCAAAAAGAAAGTTATCCATTCACCAGTCGTTGATGATTTTCCTTTACTCGTGAGCTCCATAATCAAACCATTTGGTTCCTATTAAAAAAGTTGTAACCATTATTCCTTGTACGTGAGTTCCTTTCGCGGATATAAATGCGCTATACTCTGTGGATTTCTGATCCTATGGAGTTTAAAAAGATTTGGTTAAAAAAATGTTATGCTACCTTTATCGGTGCATAATCCGCTTTGTTCTTTGTTGGTGACGAGATCCAGTTCATTTTGTTACAGAATTTTCTACAAATAAGGTGGCGGAATGTTTACCTTTAACAACCATACAATTTACAAAGTTTGCACTGCAATTATAAAGATGAATGAATCAGCAGTTGGGATTTGCAAAATCCGACAAAGCATGACCTGAACCTATAAAAAACCGAAAATTTTTTTTTTCGAAAATGCGTGTCAACCAAAACCATGTAATCATGTGTAAAGGTCAATTCTTTCAATCAGCAGATAAAGAATGTAAGTCGGATCCTACAATATTCGCCAAGCAAGTTTATAAAATTTAGCAAAGTTAATCAAGTTACCTCATAAATGCTTTAAAAAGAGCAAAGGATAATGTTTCATGAGACTCACGTGACATTCACCAAAAAGATTTATTTTTATTTTTGTTGATCAAAAATTCTCGTGTGCTTTGTGAACATAAAGGCGTGAAAACCTCAACGCACAAATTTATTGACTAAGTTATTATTTTATTAATTATTTTTTTTAAAAAAAAACAATTTTCCGAATTAATATGTCACACAAACAAAAATCAATCAACGATAGGTTCCCGTTTTTTGTGTCGCCGAAATTCCGAAATTCCGATTGTTACAATTCTTTATTAATGAAATTCTGAATGGTACATGGCTTAAATGGCTCTTGAATTGATATATGTATACATCATGTGATGAATTTTCTGGAAAAAAAAAAAAATAAAAAAAAAATAACATTTTTATTTATTGATTCTATATCGAAGATTTATTAATTTCTAAAATAAAAAAAACTTAAGTCAAAACAGCTAATAATCTAAATATTATAATATACATATATAGGATGTAAGCAATGTCGGGAGTGCTTAACGTTAACTATCGAAAAAGTTTCGTTATTCGTTATAACGAACTAATAGGCGAAAAATATATATATAATTATTCGAAATCCTTTGTCCGTGTTTGTTTTTTTTTTTACGAGTTGATTCGGGTAAATTTTTCATAAATTCCTTAATAGTTTAAAACCTTTAAAAACATATCTTGATTCTAATTCGAATTCATAATGTGCACATAATATAAAAATTCATATTTTACAAGCTTACAAAGAAAATAATCATAAAGATAAATGCAAAAAAAATAACCATCATAATTTAGTAAAAGATTGTCAGCATAATACATTTTTTTAGATTTTTTAAAGTTTTAATTTCGAAGGTATTGATTATAAATCAGTCTTAATAATAATAAGAAAAATCAAACCCCAACCCAGAAGATGGTTCAGTATCAATATAATTCCCCGAGTATATAGACATGTCTAAAGTTTCAGGATCAATTATAAATTCGTTAAAACTGGAAAAGTCACAGCCATAATCAATTAAATGATGTTCGTTTTGAATATCGTTATTGGCATGGGCTGTTGAATTAAATGATGCTTCATTTAAATTGTGATAATATGATTCGGATGAAGGATGATCGTTTATTTGAGGAGAAGAATCTGGACTTGATCGATTGTTTATAATCATTTCCCCAATTGTCATCTCGGGGATTTCAGGACTTGGAAACATACATTGAGTGAATTCAAAATTAAATTGCGGACTGATAATTTCAGTTTGTGAAATTACCGGACTAAGATTATCGGATTGAGGTTCCGGTGAGGATATCGGAGAAGGGATTTGAATCGGAAGTTTTTTGGTAGGATTTTGAGCTTTAAGCACGGGACTTTTACGAAGCTCAGCTGATTTCTTAAAAGTGACGATATTCCATTTTTCCCGCCTCCTTTTACGATTTGCTTTGGGTAACATTTCATTACGAACGTTAAAAGCTTCTTTGGCTAACCTTTTATATTCCGCTTTTACAATTTCGTTCTCTCGTTCCCAGGAACGAGAGACGATCGAAGAGATGACCGTCATTGGTAAAATGTAGCCCTGAGATCTGGCGGTTTCGATATAGACTTTACGATAAATGATGAACGCATTAGGGACTCGAGCCGGAATTTTACCATCCCTAGATTTAACGACTAAATCATGTGGATTAATGAGAGGGGGGAAGGGAAGGGTTATTATTGGTTGAGAGCCGTCAATAACTCGATTGTGTATATTTGGATTACTTGAGTCGATAAAAACGCAAGAACGATTACGTTTCAATATGGTTTGAAAAGTCATCTTCCGTTTATTACGTTATGAAAGTAATCGCTTTTGAACTTTATTTTGATCTTCTAAAAAAATGTTTCTGCTCTGAGATGAAAGTTGAGGTGAATGATCCGGTGTATTTATCAATTTCGCATAATGAAATGAATGCCCTTAAGTGCCAAAATTGGATTATGTGATGATTACAAATATTGATGAGCAAAAAGATTTTTAAAGCAAGTATCGGGCGATAAATAAATTTTGTAATACAGCTGCAAGCTATATGGTAAAATCATGGCACGTTCAATTTTTAAAAAAAGCAACATGCCTAATAATCAAATAATAAATTCTGCGCTATTACAACCCCTTTCTTCCTAATAAGTATTACTGATATCACGCAGCATTTTTGCTTTTTTGAATACTCATTTTTAAATAAATAAATAAAAAAAAAGAACTTCTCAGTAACTAGCCACAATATTGCGCCTTATTTCCTTTTTTAAACCGCATTGAATGGCTTGAATTTCTATTGCTTAGAACGCCACCTTCAAAATATTTTGTATTTTCTTTCTAATTGGGTGCTCTGCATTTGACACACGTTGCCAAAATTGTTAAATATTCAAAGAGAAAGGAAGTAATAGTTATAGCATGCACGCGATACACTAATAAAAATCTAAATTTAATCATTAATTACCGTTTTTTTTTTTTTTTTTTTTTTTTTTTTTTTTAATAATAATATTGGATATAGGAAAATTTAAAATTTTAAACCTCTAACAAGTTATTAACATTCCACCAATAATAAATTTGGATTGAACTTTATTATGATGTCCTTGTTCATTTCTTTTTTTAACTTTATATGAACAAATCAAATCGAAATCGGACGGAATATTTTCCCCGTGTTTGTTTGCTTTCTTTGATGCGATAAAATAGAACTTTCGTCAGCTGTCACATTTCGGTTTTGTACAAAAAAAAAAATAAAAAGGAAAAAAAAAAACTGGATGGTCGCACAATCTTGAAAATACGAAAATCACAACATCAACACAAAAATTATTGTATTTACATAAAAAGAAATTATAATTATGGTATTTTTAGATTTCAGAAACGGGCTGTGTTATATCTTACTTTGAAAGAAATAAAAAGATTTTTTTTTTCTTTATAAATAATCGGATCGGTAATCGATGTCCGAGTTAATTTCGCTCCATGTTACGAGAGAGTCTAGATCTTTTCCTTTTGTCCCATTACAATTTTTAATATCCTTTAGAGGATTGCAGTATGACACCTATTCGGCTATTGAGAGTGCAGATTTTTTTTAACGTTAAAATTTACAAAGTTACAAAGTATAGAAACTGTTAGGATAGAATATAAAGTAACTGCCGTGTTGATCCTCCTAGTAAACACAATTGAAATCGCGTAAGATTTATTATTATTTTTTTTCTCACGATTTAATAAGGCCGAAAAATACATACGGAACGGGAGGGTGTCGCTGCAATGAGCTCTCAAGCATTTTAGTATATAATCATGTACACATTATAATATAGCTCAGTATCGGATTCTTTTAATGTATTAAAAAGATTTTCAGTCATCTTTAAATTACAGAGATTACAGAGGACAAATTATAAATTATTTTAAAATTTTAATTTCATACAGAAGAGAAAGTTTCAGCAAAATAATGTTTTTTTTGTCGCGTCTTGCGAATTTATATTTTATCAAACAAAAAAAATTAAATTAAAATTAAGTGTCTGCGCCATTTGGAAACCGGAACAACCGCATTTAATCTTTCCATATTTGTTATTCATTTTAAAAAAAAATAAAGATTTGTGAACCTTCTTTTTTGTTTATTAGAAAAAGCGCATTTGACTGAAATTTCTATTTTTCATCGCAACTATCCGTATTTGTAATTTGTAACTTATTGATAAGTGTGATTGTAAATAACGCTAAACTCATTAGGAAACAATTTGTACAATCCAACTTTTATAATAAAATGAAAATTTTTCAAGAACAATTTCTATCGTAAATCTATAAACCTGTATTAAAAAATGAATTATGTTTTATTTTCAAGACAATAATTTCGTATTTAAAACAATCACGATCGTTTATTAATTAAAGATTGTCTATTAATAAAGATTTTTTAATCATAAATATACATTTTGTTATTGTATAATCCCACTTATATTTTATTTAAAACAATAATTAACGTAGTTTAATGAAACATTCCATCGTTATGCGATGCGTTAAGATAAAAACGAGACCGAACAAAAAAAAAATCTCCGAATATGATAAAATATACAAATTCAACTTCTCGTGATAAAAATATTAGGAATTGGTATAGTGTTATCAGAGAGTTTAAGTAATACTGAAGCAAATTTCTAAAAATAATTTTTTTTTTTTAAGAATTTAATCAATTAAAAAATAAACAGGGTCAAATAACCTTAAATCTCACGGTAGAGTAACACCAAATGGACGAAATGTGATTTATGAATACTACAATTATCTTAATGTAAATATCCTGCCTGATTTAAGTAATCGGTCATCTTACTCCGATGATCTTGATATGGCTAAATTTAACTTTAAATTCTTTTTCGTTGTTTAGCATTGAAATTTAACATCCCACAATTATTTTTTTCTCTTTGTTCTAAAAGAGGCTACAAGGCGGGAGGGGGACATCATTTAGATTTAAAGATAATCTCGTGATCTGCGAGGAGATAAGTTGCTTCAATTGTCACAACATACCAACTTACTGTATGTGATAATCAAACAACGAATTAGGAGATTGATTAAAGTGCAAAAATTACCTGATTTGGCTTAGCCCTTCAAATAGTAGATCAACGCATCATTTGATGAAAGATAAGCATAAAAAATCAATTTTCATTATTGGCTATTAGTATGGGTCAAAATTCGTAAATAACCGTTTACTAGTTGTTTAAGTAGCATCGGCTTAGTATCTATTTTTATAATTTGAATTCAATTAAACGTTTGTTTCGTTCATTTCCGCATTTTCCGCATCATTTTAATGCAAAAGGTATTTGGGCGCATTGGTAACACTATCACTTGTAAAGATTCTTCTAAACTATTGTATTCCTTCTAATTTTGTACAAGTAAAAAAAATTATAAAATAAAATAAATTATAAATAACACCAATTAACCTTATACGTAAAAATATGTTTTGTATAACAATTCCTTGCATCTGAACAATGTTTGAATGAGTTTTTAATCTTTCTAATTTGAGATGTACTGCAGATGATTTTCGCATAATTATACCACAAATTAAAAATAGATTCTTTTTGACTCACAAAATCCTTATCACCATAATAGATCGGCTGCACATCATGATTCTAGTGTTCTAGATTACATTGTGCTTTGTTTATTGATTTTGAATTCTGAATAGAATTCAAATAGGGTATTAACATTCATCCAAATTGGTTAAACTAAATTCAGAATCCCAAATAAATACTCTTCACAATCCTTTCCTGTTTTTTTTAACAATTATCACTTTTCGTTACAAAAATAAAAATAAATTTAAATATAAAATAAAAAATTTATAAATTCATACAAATAAAGAGTGAATTTAATCCTGCCTAACTGCCCAATAAAAAGGAAATAAAGAAAAAAAAATCCAATTTAGCGATACCTTTTTCTTTTAAAACTAAAAAAAAAAAAAAAAAAAAAAGAGAAAATGTCTGCCCAACAAAACATCATCAACAAACGTACATCACGTGCTTGCGTTTTTATCGATTCGAGCAATCCTTCGATGCCAAGTCAAGTAATTAACCACGCGCAACCATTCATAAAACCACCATTCCCGCCGTCAATTGAACCACGTGATCTATTGAAAAAAGGAATTTTGTGTAAGGCTCCGAACGCTTTTATCATTTATCGAAAAGTATTCATAACTACCGCTAGATCCGATGGGTATAACTTACCAATGACCGTTATCTCTTCAATGGCTTCTCAATCTTGGGAACAAGAACCTGATGATGTTAAAGCTGAATACAAACGAATCGCCAAGGAGACTTTTAATCTTCGTAACGATATGTTACCAAAATCTGTTCGTCGTCGTAAGCGTGAAAAATGGAACATCGTATCTTTTGAAGATAATGTTGAAAAATTTGGACTTCGCAACGAATCAATAAAGATCAAATCGAAAACAACCAAACATAAAAAATCTGCTAGCAAGGATAGCCTGAAAGTGCCACGACGTAACGAATTACCTTTATCTCCCGTTTCATCACCCGAACCTATTTCGACGGAACCGAGTCCTATAATCACTCCAGAGGCTTCTCCTTTGATCCTACCAAAGGTTTCATCTAGAACGTCTCATTCGCTGTTCGTGAATTATAATTGTGAGGAATTAACCCAATGTATGATTCCATCTCCAAAAAAGACGACATTCGATGAAGCTTTTGGAACGGAACGTAAAAATTGGTTACAAAGTCCAGAATCTTCAATTGGTTCTCCCGAGAGTGATAAACGGTACTTGATTGATTTTGAATCGCCGACTCCTCTTTTCGTTGAACCTCCCATGATTTCACAATTTGATGAACAAATTGATTTGATGTTGGACCAATCATCTCAACAATTCAATCTTGGGATCAATTCAGATAATCTGTTTAATGAAATTTATTCGGATTTTTTATTTGATGTTTCAACAGAAAACCGTCAGAGTTCTAACTTATTCCCTTCACAAAATTTTTTAACCACTGAATTTTCATATTATAGTTAAGCGAAGCGTTCATTAAGCAACAGACAATTTCACATATACCCAAGAAATTTCTTTGAGAACCGCATAAGGCTTTCTTATCTTTAAAATAATTTATTGTAAATATGTACATAAACTTTATATATATATATATGTATCTGCTTTTCTTTATGACATCCTAGATTCATAGATTTTTGGGAAAAATCACGTCACGAATTATATCCGATTTAATAGCGAGCTGTATTTATATTTTAGACATTATTATCTTAATCTCAATTCTGTCTGGGATAATTTTGAAAAAAAAAGCGATTTCGCCATAATTTAATTTCGGTTTCATTTTTTTTTTTGTATAAATAAATATAAAATAATGATATTTTCTAATATATTTTAATCTAAAGATTTAAAAAATACTCTCGCCTAATTTAGACTATGATTAAAAATTGCGTCCTATTTCGTTCTATTATAATTACAATTCAGGAGTATCATGATTTAATATAACATTTATGTATACGTCACGAAATAAGTATTTGTATTTTATTCTTATAAATATCATTATTGTCAAAATATGAGCGATAATATCCAATGTCAAAAATTTGGAAATGTGAATTTTTGGTATATTCCTGTTTATGTGTAACAAATCTAATGCACTTCTCTAATTCTTATGAAATATATATTTGTTTCTAACGTATTGTGCTCAAATATTAGCAAATAAAATAAAACAAAAAGCCAATCATAACAAACTAGTAGATTTAAACATATTCTTTATGTAATGCAAAGCATATCGCGATTCATTTACTGCATACAACATCCACTATCTTAATGAATTGCCAATTCCAGAAATGAATTGAACCTAATTTTCTTAATAAGTATTACGACTTTAATCATTAACCGTTTTAATCTTTTAAAGTTTGAATTTCAAACGAAAAAGAATTTTTTTATAATTATTAAAAGTTTATAAATATTACAATCTAATCTTATTAAACTTCATTTTAACAAATTTTAAAACTTGATATCTTTTACTTTTAATTTAAATTATTATCAGTCAGTGGAAATGTCAGATCTCTTGTCGATCATTAATTGAATTTTTGTGTAACAGTACCACTCACGAATAGTGTGCAATATTGTTTAAATAAAATGCACCAAAGAACTTAAGGACCTTTCAATTTAGAAGTTTCAATCTATCAATCTACTCGTTTCTATGCCTTTCTTTGTAATATAATACTTGTACAAAAACTTTATATATGACCAACTTTTACCTTTTTTTTAACCTTATTTCGAGATGCAAGTTTTTATGTTTCTCATAAACATATAGTTATATGTGCTGCAATCGAAATACTTAGTCAATAAAGAGCAGTTAGAATAATAATTTTTGTAATCATCGGGTAATTTTTGTTTATATTCCATTTAACCAGTATTTTCTTTAAAAAATAACAAATTTACACAAAAAAAACATAATTGTATTATATATTCTCCACTTTGATATTTATTTATCTTTATGATAATACCACCATTCTCATTAGTAAAGATGGGAACTGTAATTAATATGTTGCAACTTTTAATGTTGCAACTTACGTTGCAATTAGTTTTAACCTA